CCCCCGGCGGCTCCGCCTCCTCCTCCGCCACGCCTCCGATCCAATGGAAGACCATACCATCTCCTACTTCCTCAGACCAACCGAAACAAACCCACATGGTCGTCTTCGCCACAGCCACCGCCTCAAAACCTATATCACCGCCGTCCACCTCTGCCGCCGCCGCCGGATCCTCGTCGGAAACAGCCGGCTCTTCGCCACCGTCTCAGCCGGAGCAACTGGACACAGAGCCGTTTCATCATCAGTTTAGGAAAGGAAAGTACGTGAGCCCGGTTTGGAAACCTAATGAGATGCTTTGGCTGGCTCGAGCATGGAGGCTCCAATACCAGACCGTAACCGGGTCGGGTCATGAGAACCCCGAAACGGGTCAACCCGGGAGAGGGAAGACGAGGGCAGAAAAGGATAGAGAAGTGGCCGAATTCTTGAACCGTAATGGGATCAACCGAGACGCCAAGACGGCGGGGACGAAGTGGGATAACATGTTGGGAGAGTTCAGGAAGGTTTACGAATGGGAGAGAGGAGGCGAAGGTGACAGATTTTCCGGCAAGACTTACTTCCGGCTTTCTCCGTACGAGAGGAAACAACATCGGCTTCCGGCATCATTCGACGAGGAAGTGTTCGAAGAGTTGGCTCAGTTCATGGGTCCAAGAGTGAGAGCTCCGAGTAGCCGTGGCGTTGCTCCGGCGGCGACGGCGACTCTTCCGCCGCCTCCTCCTCCGCCGCCGCCGCATTGTTCGAGGGACGATGATACGTATATTCCAAGTGGTAAAAAAGTTACATACACGCGTACACTTTATATATACGTAGCTACAACTTTACACGACTAGTTCAATAAAAGTTTTATCACACCGATCGATACATCAAAGATTCGTTCATTGATAATACATTTGTAGGGAGAGGGAAGAGGTTAGCACTGACTACAATCGGAGACCATTCCGGACAGTTTCCATACTCAAATTTTGCAAGAGGATCAACCCTATTCTCGTCATCTCTATGCGATCCGGCATTCGAGACGATACCGACGCAGAAAGATCTCCGACGAATCGGGAAAATACGGATGACGTGGGAGGAATCGATGAGCTTGTGGGCGGAAGAAGGAGAGACACACCATGGAAGAATTAGGGTTAATGGATCGAGCTTCTTGAGCGTGGACGAGCTCATGTTCTTCGACGATTCCATGGTTGTCTGCTCGATGGAATCCTTCGATGATGGACCTCTCAAGGGCCTTTCATTGGATAAGTTTATGCCTGGTCAACACCTCAAAGTGTTCGGAAGGCGAAAGTCAACTCCATCTGCCTCTTCTTCTTCTTCAGGTAACATATTCATTAGGTTTCCAACTTCACATCGTATAAATGTATGTATGTATGTATATATATATATAGTAACTGTCACTACGTGTTGATATATGCTGACGTACAATGAATTAATTATGAAGGATACCTAAGTAGTTGTCTCCCTTTATTTGTAACTAACATTAATATTTCCACAGGTGTGATGGAGCGAGCCCAGTTTCCATTTTTGGAACCCCTCACAAGACGTAAATTCCTATCACTTGCTTGTACATGCTCCTCCATTCAATGTCACATCCTACATTATACATATACTTATATTCACATGTGTGTGTATATATATATGTGCTTATATATATATGAAACATTGGCATTTGTTAACAGTCTCAAGATATAGGCAGTAGATACACAATTTAACCAAGTTAATCTCTCTTTCTGTGTACAGAAATACCGGCATATGAGTTCCAAGACCCGTCCGAGCATTACTTAAGCTGCCTTCGGGTGTCGCCTGTATCGTTACCGAGCATTTTCGAGCTCTCATGGCATTTACAAGAACCGCCGCCCGAGGATCTCCGATTCCCGGTCCGGAAAGATGTATTCAGAGACCTGCCACCGGGGAAAGACCTCTTCTTTACCACCTCCTCATCTGAGCTATTGGATTGCAGGGCCATCACTTATGATATCATCAGCCCGGTAATGGCGAGGTTAAACCCTAATTTCGCGGTTTCAAGCAAAGACTCGCTTATTCCGTTGTGGGAAGACTGCGTAAACCGGATTGTTTCCAAGTTCTGTCCCGTGGAAATAGCGTTTATGCGAAAACCGAGTTCTTCTAACTTGGGTGATGATGATACCAACGTCCAAGATCAATGGCCGAATGTTATTGGATTCGTGAAAGGTTTCGGGCTATGGAGAGGAGAAGAGGCGGATAACATCAGAGAAGGCGAGGCCAAACCGTCGTCTCGTTTAGCCGAGAAGCTCCTCTGGTCATACAACGATCTGCCTTACATTATCGGATATTACGCAATAGGGTTCAACGTAACGTTTTGTGCTTTGAGCCGTTCACAAGATCGAGTAATCTGTACGGATCTTTACTCGTTCAACGTGTCGTCCCCGTCCGATCGAGTCAAGGCCTTAGTCCCTTGTTACCGTCTCGCCTGCCTTCTTCCTTTGCTTGCCGATCGGTGCATCAATGGCGGTGATCACAGTAACAGCGGCAAGAAGTTTTGTTTCAGCGACTTCGACAGATTCGACAATGGCGATCACGTGACGGAAATGACGCCAAACACGGTGACAAAGTATTACACGAGCAAGAGAAAATGGACGGCAGTCAAGGAGATATACGATTTCCTCGACCTCAGGGTCCCACACGCGGAGCATCTGACGAGATCCAGCGAGAGGAACATGTCGTTGACTTTCAAGCCACGTGGGGTCAAAGTCAAACCGAGAAGCGTTGACCAACTGGTGGAGTCGCTGATGTGCGTGACCAAGGCCCTCGTGGCTCTCCACGACCTCTCCTTCATGCACCGTGACCTGGGCTGGGACAAGGTGGCGTTAACGGCGAGAAGCGTTGACTGGTCAACGGATACAGTCGAGTGGATCCTATGCGGATTCGAGGAGGCGGCCGACGCGCCGCAGCTGAACCCTCGAGAGGCCGGGGAGGAGCGTGGGAGGCACGCGCCGGAGATGGGGAGGGGGTTGCATGGGGTGAAGGTGGACGTGTGGGGGGTAGGGTTTCTCATAAGGACGTGCGAGCTGCGTGACGTGAAGATGCTGAAGGAGCTCGAGACTAAGTGTTTGGAGCCGAACCCTGAGCTCAGGCCGACCGCCGCCGACTGCTACCACTACCTTCTCCAGGTCCAGTCCGCCGCGTCTCCGCCGTATTAGTCCAGACACTCTCGTTCTCGTGATCAGTGACATTTTCGTAAATTCCTTCATCTTTTTTTTTTTGGTAATGATTTATTTGGGTGAGCATTTGCAACAGGCATGTGTGGTATTTTGTTCGATTTTGGATATTGGGCTGATAATATCATGAAATCTGTTAATCATAAAGTTACGGGTTTTGTCACAAGTTTCACATTTTTGTTAACCTTGACTAGAGACTAGATCCTCTCAATTATTCCCAATTAGTTACCTTTCACTTTTTTCAAATTCTATTAGTTTTAAATTTGAACATTTTTTAAAAAACGTTATAAAAAAACATTTTTAAAAAACTCTTTGACCCAGTAATTCTATGATTTTTTTTAAATTTCAAAAATTCGATTGTCTTAAGTTTCCTCAATTAACTTGGGGGTATTGGTTCGATTCTATCTATTTATATTTCTTTGACCAGTAATTCTATGGATTTATTTTTGTTAGTTTTTTTTTTTATGTTTTATATGTATCTGGATCCTCCACCGGTTATAATTGGACTACTTATTTACCATAATATGAATTATACGCTTGATATATATAAGCTAGGGTTTACTGTTGTGGACCATTATTATCTTATATAGTTTTGGGATAGAATTTTAACACAACAAGTCGACGTTTGATCCTTGCTAACCCTTCATCTTCCACGTCAGCATTTACGACGCTGAAACCCTACTCATTCTAAAAGATTAAATTGATATGATGTTAAGTACATATATATATTTGTTAAAACGTTATCTGCGGGAATTGAGGATTTATTAGGAAAAAAATATAGTAGGAAAATTGATCAGAAAGTTTGCCATTTTAAATTTTCAGAATTTATGCAATTATTTGATATATCAACAAAAAAATCTTAAAATTTATGAGCTACTGTATTATATACATATATATATATATATATATATATATATATATATATATATATATATATATATATATATATATATATATGGGAGACACGATATAAGGGTGATGGGGACGGATGAAAAGAGGAGAGAGGCCTGAGGCGGACAAAATGGCGGCTGCTTCTACTCATTTGAGCCGTCGCCCAACCTGTGTCTCCTGCCTTTTTCCTTTCGCGAGACGAATGGAAAAGTCGTTATAAACAAAATTATGTTTCATTCAAGATAATTTTTTTTAACTTGTTTTAAGATTTATTTGTTATAATTTCTAATTAAAAATTACATTCATTAAAACTAAACAGTAGACCTAATTACTTTATTGTTTTGGATTTGTCAGAGGGCAAAATCTTTATAGATTTTAATAGTTTAAAGTACTTATCAAGAAAATAACAAAAGGGTAAAAGGGTGATTTGTATTTTTGCGTCACCATTTTCAAAAGGTGACGCAACCAAAAGCGTCACCATTTATACCGTCACCAATTCAGATTTCGTCACCAAAGGGTGACGCAATAGTAACTCAACTTTTGCGTCACTAAATAATGACGCAATTGCGTCATTAAAACATATTTTGGATCCAAAAATATTTTTTTTTATATCGAATCTAATCCTATATCCTAATCCCGACCTCTAAACTCCAACCGCGATCTTAAGTCGAATCGGAAATTCTCAAATTGAATCTCCGAAATCCACTTCTCAGGAGGTCACCCATCCTTCCACTACTCTAACTCAAACACGCTTAACTTTAGAGTTTCAATTGATAAGCAACCAATTATTCGAAATTAAACTTCTGACATATTACAACATTAATACATATACATATACAAATATTTATAATTAAAAATATATATGTATATGTTTGTACGTATATACACAGATATAAAATATATATTTATATATATAATATATATGTATATGTAAAATACATATTTATATATAAAATACTCGTATATTTATACGTACAAATACATATATATAATATACGTATATATAAAATTTATATTTATATATAAATGCTCGTATAAGACTCAAAGTCAAATGAATCCAGAAGACCTTCAGAATGAAGCTTCTGAATGCGCTTCTCGTTTATATGGCCTAGACGACTTGCAAGAGGAAGGTCGGGTTTAAGTCGTTCGACTTAAACCATTTAGTACTCACGTTATAGATGGACGATGTCGAGTTCGAAAGCTGATCATTCAAGATGTACAAACCATTTACAAGATAACCATTACCATAGTAAATGCTGTCTCGATAAATCATCAAACTCGAGTTCTCAATAACAAATCGAAAACCATCCAAATCTAGACATGAAATAGAAATAATGTTTTTGCTAATCGCAGGCACATAGTAACAATTACTCAATTCTAAAACAAATCCAGAAGGAAGATGCAAATTATAAACGCCAACACCCAATGCAGCAACTCTTCTCCATTTCCGATGCGCAGATCCGCTTCTCCCTTAGTCAGCATCCTACTTCTTCTTAGTCCCTGGACATTTCCACAAATGTGTGAGGCACTTCTGTTATCCAATACCCATGAAGATGTAGTACAGAAGTTAGCTTCTATAACATGAATACTTGAGGCAGAAGCTTCACCAAGCTTCTTATCCTTCAGATCCTCCAAGTAAAGGTGACAATTACACTTCCAGTGTCCAGACACTCCGCAGTAATGACAGTCACCCTTATCGGGCTTAGACTTGGACATAGAGGCAACTTTTGCCTTCTTCACAGTCTTCTTTTTGGCTTTACCCCGCCGCTTCTTGCTGGAGTTGTTCTCAACAACAAGCACAGTCCTGAGTACCACGATATCCTGCTCGGCCGATTTCAGCATCCCATGCAATTCGGCTAAGCTCTTAGTCATCCCATACATATGGTACTGCATCACGAACTGGTTATAGTCCTCGGGTAATGACATCAGGATCAGGTCCGCGACCAAGTCGCCATCGAGCTTCACTCCCATACGCTCAAGTTCCTCAACATGAGAGCTCATGTTGAGGACATGGGTGTTGACAGAGCTGCCTCTCGACATCTCCATCTTCACTAGAGCTTTTAGCGTCTTGTACTTTTCAGTACGCGCCAGCTCCTGAAACATGGTCTTGAGTTGTTCAATCATATCAAACACGCTTTTCCCCTCAAACTGCCTCTACAGATTCGGGGCCATGCTTCCCAACATGAGACAGGAAATCTCGATGTCGTCAGTCTGATGCTTCAACCAAGCATCCTTGACAGCTCTCTGGCATTGGCTGCAGGCTCTGGTGGTAGAGCCCCTTCCAGGACGTACGAATTCTTATCGTGTTTGAGAACAATTCTCAAGTTACGATACCAGTCCAAGAAGTTCGTCCTGGTCAGCTTATCCTTCTTAAGGATAGATCGCATTGTCAAACTCGGTACGCTACCGGTTGACGCCATGTCCTACAGAAAAAGACAAAAACAGAACGAACAAAAACAAAATGCAGATTCTATCAATGATCTACTACCAGCTAGTCCATCATCAATCAACGACAATATAGATGCACATACAAGCTATATTCCCATGCAGAAAATTAGCCCTACAATAATTTTCTATATGGGATTAAGATCCGTATTTCACATAAGAATGAGTTGTTACACTCAGCCTTACGCTATTTAGGTAGACATCTAATCTCAATCACATCCAATTTGATTCTTAGATCCTTTTATGAGACTATGATATCGAATATCATTGCATACTCGACTCATCTGTACCGTTAAGTCTCAAGTCAAACTCGACAACTTAACCTAAGGTAAACCATATTCAAGCTGTGGGAACCACGATTTCTCACCCTACCTCACAAAGATAATCCGGCACGCTCAACTTTGGCATGACCCGTGTTACAGACGATCGATGCCTTGACAGGCGCTCTAGTAATGGAAGGTATACATATATATATACGTATATATAAAATATATATTTATATATAAATATTTGTATGTTTATACGTATAAATAATAAAATACAGATATAGTGACGCAATTGCGTCACTAAAAGGTGACTAAATTGCGTTACCAAAAGGGTGACACAACTATTTGCGTCACTCTTGCGTCACCTTTTTTCGTGACGCAAATTTTGCGTCACTGTTTGTGACACTATTTGCGTCACCATTTTAGTGACACAAATTTTGCGTCACCTTTTGCGTCATCTTTTCCGTATTTTCTAATAGTGTATTCAATTTATAAAAATCCATATTTTTTTTGAAATGTATGGTATGATTTGTATAATAATAATAACTGTTTAATTGCCACAAAACCAAACTACCGGGTCGGTGTATGCGAAGTCATCCGCAAAACTTACTTTGGAATCACAAACATTAAACGAATGCCTTGATTTCAGGTCATTGCTAGTCATCTGTCTAGCAGATACCATGACTCTGGGGCAGGTTTCAGAGATAACTGATAAGCACAACACATAATATATATGTATGTATATTACCTCCATAAGCTCAGATGGACAACTTCCCTGCATCCATAAGATTTTCCAAAAAATTTCCACCCGGTGTGAACCTAGACCAAGTAAAACCTTTACTTGTAAGTATTCAATGAGATCAAATCAAAGATAGAGAAGGAAGAAACAGAACAAGAATCCACATATTTTCTTACCTCCATGAGCTCCAAACAGTCAGGGAAACCGGATCCATAACTGAAGTTCTCATATTTGGTTTACTCCAACACGAGAGAGATCTAATGCCGGAATCTATGCCACCGTGATCTCAGAGATCTAGGCACTCGTAACAGATCCGCCATTTGCCTGTCAAAAACAAGAGTTATGGAAAATGATTTCGAGCTCTTAACTGAAAATGGAGGCAATACATATATTCCTGATGATAACAGCAGAAACGGCTGGTGTTGACAAAATGTCATCCCTACAAGATTGTGTTGTTAATAAAGTAAAAAAGCACAGGATCCAAATGAACAGAAAAAATGGAAACCAAAGGAGGGAATGGAGAATAGTTCCACGATCCAAATTGATCATACATAAAAGATAATCTTACACTCCAAAGGCTAAACATCGGCCACTTGTGAAGATCAAACCTTTAGAAGTATCTCTAACAAGAATTTTCCAGCTAAAGAAATTCACCGTCCAACTGAAATTTTCTCAGCCGCAATTTCGATGGATCAGAAAGGAAAACCGCTATAGGAATGAAATAAACTGGAGCAACAGAAAATACCGCTTTTAGACGGAACAGAAATCTGGAAATAAACCTGTGCTGCCTCTTTGTTGAAGTAACGAGCATCGCCTCCTCAAACCAATGTT